CACACTGACACACGTATACACCCATGGAACGTTAGCGGGTTTAAAAAACAGACCAGTTAATCTGATATATATAGAAAGATTCACAAGCATCTCAGGCCGGAGCCCCACCCGACGCATCTCGCAGTCACCGCCGTCCTCTTCCCTTCCTCCTCTCTTCCACGGCCCTGTTGCCATCGTCCAGCGGGCACGCCGGGATGCGCGAGCCCACCGGTGTCCGAGCTCTGTCCCCGCCAAGCAGTTCCGTGCCGAAGTCTGTGCGCCATCCCGGCACTCTCACCCCACCAAACTGCGACGGCAGCGGCCCGACCCTCCCGGTTGCGTCGACGGCCCAATCTACCAAGTGTTCATGATGCCTCACCTTGACTGGCCCAACCCTTGCCTTGACTCTGGTGAACACTATCTTCATTACCCACGTACTCTTGCTCTTCCATGTGCCTAATGTGAGCATCCCATGGTCCATCCTTGGCATTTCCTTCCTTTGGTCGAAACCTTCATGTTCATCCATCCCCGGCCTTGGTCCATCATGCATGGAATCCTCACTTGGCCATCTTCATGGTCGGTTGACCATCTCGGCACACAAAATAAGTACACATTCACAAGCCAAAGAGACATGTTGTACAATACACTTAACACAAATATAACATGACACCTCAGGTTAACCATTAGCATAAACAAGTACATATAAAATATGAATTCAACTGGAAAATTATCACCGCTCTCAGATGTTCTATCAATCATTCATCACATATGAATGAGACTTGGTCTCCCATTCTTGTTGATCACACATGCATGTATACTTGCTATGCATCCTATCATTTACCTTAAGTTAGTTTTTTAAGTTCTAATAGTGAGAGCATGCAGTCAAAAATTTTCAAACATATTTTGGTGTAATTATTTATTATTACTTAAACTTTGCATAACATTGGTTATGGTAATTTAAATGTATATTTAAGAATATTTTATTTTATTTTTAATAATGATAGAAGTGGGTCATCTTGGTTCAAATGCAAGGGTCACTAAGATTATCTATCTTAATGGCAGGATGACTAATAATTTAGAATCAAATTTTTAGGGGTTATATTACATTGGAATACATAATAGGAGAGGCATGGGTAGTTTCAACGAAAATTTAGGTGTACTTAGTTTTATTTTGTAACAACAGAGGTGGTTAATTTTTGAAATAGGATACATCAATGGCTATTGTTATTGGTTTTTTTTATGAAAAGAGAATAGTCTTTATTCCAGCCTCTGAATGAGTTGTGCACTCAACCATAAAATTAGAAGTTTCATTCATTTGTAAAACAAAAGCTAGCAAATTGCAACGCAAGTTTTTCGGATAAAGCATTGACTCATACAACAAAAGCTATAAATTTGGTGTCATAAATACATGTACTCTTTTTAATAAAACTAGCCACAAGTTATATTGGGTCAGAGCGAGTATTAGTGATGGGCTGTTGTAGTCCTCAACTAAGGTCGCGACGCAAGTAATTGGTCATGTGCTGGAGAAGTTACTTAATGGTCACTAGTGATGTGCCAAAAGCATCCATCAATTATTGTGGTATTATTGTTTTTATCCAAAAGGTTATGGATCTATTCGAAGGCTCGAACTTGAATCTTGGATTACAAATTACTTTTTGGGTTGTCTTTCGATTTTTGAAAATGACAAAGTAGATTTATACAAATATGACTTAGTGTGGTTGCTTTTTTTTATACCGTGTCAAGATCCTGAACAACCTATAATTGTGACATGGAGTATTAATTATTAAACATGCCATTAACACATGATCCTGCCAGAGTTGGTCTTAATTAGAAGGATTATCCAATTTAATTTGCGCATTCAGCAAGTTATAGCATTGTTTTTTTCGGAGAAACTCACATGAATTTTAGCAAGTCATACCAATTTTGCTATGCATGCAACAGGTGTACCTTGTTCCATCCAGTTCATTGAATCGTAGAAACCAATGCAATTTATTTGGATGTAACGCACGAGGCTCTGTGGAATATTCGAGCTGTCTGTAAATATAGTGCAACCAACTTACAACAATAGCTAGGCACTAAATTTGGGGTCATACAGAAGTTTGACTTAAGACAACTTATTGTGGGATGGAGTATTATCTAATCGGCCACTATAGGGCTCATGGTCCGTGCTGGAGAAGTTACCACTTATTTTGTCATTAGTTGTGCCAAAAGGATCAAGAATTATTTTGAACGTTGGTTTTTCTCAAAAAGGTTATGGATTTAAGTATAGGATTTCTAGAAACCATAATGCTCCAGTTAAGAGGTCCGGAACGGACGGACGCCTCACTCGCTCACTCCCGCACCTAGTCCCTCGCTTCTTCCTCCCTTCTGCGCTCGCGTCCCGTGCCTACCCTGACGTGTGGCCATGGCTACCTCCCTGGCCGGTGGCGGCGTGCCCCCCACCCCGGCGGCCTCCTCCCCCACCGCAGCGTCTCCACCCAACAGGAGCGCCCAACGCTCGCGGATCCAGTGGCCCTCTCCCATCCCGGCGCAATCCAAGCAAGCCACTGACCCTCCCCTACCCCGGCCAGTGGCGTCCACCCCAAATCCAGCAGCGTCTTCTCCCTCGGTCGACGATGGGCATGGTAGGCGTGCAGGCGTGCACCGTCCAGCGAGCCAGCGCCATCACAGTTGCCCACCAGGTAGGTTTTGGCCGGGCGGCAATGCTGTGTTTCAAGTGTTTTTGGACTCTTTTTCAGACATATTGCAAGCCCATGTTTCAAGCGTTTCGGTTGTTTCAGATGTATGCTTCAATTGTTTCATGCGGATGTTGTAAAAGTAGATCAGGATGTTGCATATATTGCAATAGTTGTACACGTATGTTGTAAGTGTCTAGCCCCAATGTTTCATCTGTTTTTTGTACACGTATGTTGCAAGTGTTTCAGACGCATGTATCAAGTGTTTCATCTGTCTTATTTTGTATGTTGCGAGTGTTGCATCTAGATGTTTCAAACATAGATCGGGATGTTGCACATGTTGCAATGGTGTTTCAACTATATGTTTCAAATGTTTCATTTGTTTTAGACGTATGTTGCAAATGTTTCATCTAGATGTTGTAAAAGTAGATCATGGTGTTGCACGGCCTGGCCGGTGTCTGTCGCTGCTGCTGGGGTGCAGCCGTGGGTCAACCCACGTCGGTTTCCCTACGCAGGGTGCGGGTCCCTGCAACGGACGCGGGCGCGGGTGCTCGGGCGGGATGCGGGACGTGGGGCAGGATGTGGACACAAGAGCGGCGCAGGTGTCGAAGCCGTGTCCGGACGCGATGTCTGGTTCAGACATCCGGCCGCTAGGTGTACCATTCTAGAAATTCTTTTGTGGGTTGAATTTTAGTATTTGAAAATGATAAGTATATTTATATAAAAAAATAGTTTGTCACGGGTATGGTTATGTGTTCAGAATTTATTATAAAATTTAGTGGTCAATTCATTTTTGTTTTTCAGACCGTGTCAAGATCCTGAACAACCTATAATTGTGACTAGAGGGAGTATTAAGCATGACATTAACACATGATCCTTCCAGCATTGGTCATAGCAGGCTCATCCAATTTAATTTACGCATCCGACAAGTTATAGCTTTGTTTTATTCGGAGAAACGTACATGGATTTTAGCAAAAGTGATACCAATTTAGATATACATACAACAGTTGTATCTTGTCCCCGTTCTTTGAATCGGAGAAACCAATTTCTTTGGATCTTACGCAGGAGATTCTGGGATATTTGAGCTGTATGTGTGCATAGCGCAACCAACATACAAGCAAGCGTACCAATAGTTGTATCATCGTTTATCTTTAATTGATCTATACGTCAGCACGCCGATCATTCATCATTGTCTTTGCCGGATGCATCAGCACGCGGGTCATATATTTTGTTCGATCATGGATCGTATCTATCGAGGCAAACTATAATATATTGGCCCATCCTACAAATACAGGGCGAGTTTAACGAGTTCCCATGCATTGGAAACGTTACAATGTCCTACACTGGCGAGTCTGCCTCCACATATAGATGTCCAACGGTGCCGTCCGGCACGGCACGGCTCGGGCCTGGGCCAGGCAGGGCCCGATGGGAGTCGGGCTGGCACGGCACGCTATGCCTCCCAGGCCATGCCGAAGCGGGCTTTGTGCTTGGCCATCAGCCCAGGCACGGTCCTATGGGCCGCTTTCGTGCCGGGCCGACCCATTGAGCACGGCGTATCCAGCGTGCTGTAGCCAGTGGCCCGCCACAGAGCCAGAGAGCAGAGAGAGAGGCGGGACTGCGGGATGCAGGAGCTCGAGGCGTCGGCGGCCGGCGGGGCGGAGCTCGAGCACACCGCGCTCGCACCCAAGGCACGGCCTCGTGGAGGGACGGGAGGAGAGGAGCCCGAGGCAGGTCGCGGATGGCCGCCGTGGCGCTCTACAGCTTGTGCGCGAGGAGGAGGCGGGCGGCTGTAGCAAGTGAACGGCGGGGAAGGAGAAGGCCGCGTCCACGCCGCGCGTGTGCGGGGAACGGGAGGTGGCGGCGGCTGAGTCTTTTGGATGGGAATGGGAAGGGAGTTAAGGTTACGAGGATAAGAGTATATATTTGATTGGGGAGTTAGGGTTGGGGCTGGGCTCTTAGCAGGCCGGCTGGCCGGGCCGCTACCGGGCTGCGCTCTGTGGACCAGGCCGTGCCTGGTCTCTGTGGACCAGGCCGTGCCGTGCTAGCCCATGTGCCTTAGTAGCAGCCCAGGCACGGCCTACTCCACCGAGCTAGGCCAGCCCGGGCCCACTGACCGGGCCGTGCCGTGTTTGGGCCGGACCAAAATTGCGTGCTTCGTGCAGCATAAACATTTATACCTCCACGTGTCCTTGGAGGAGACACCACGCATGCGGATGCGTCTCCTTAATCTACCACCACCTGAGTGGCTTCGGCAACGCCATGTTTTACCGCGTGCTCAACGTGGTGACATCGGCGACGGGCGGCGAGACGTAGGTGTACCACTTCACCACGATCGTTATCGCCGGGATGGGCTTCTTCACCGATGCCTACGACCTCTTCTCCATCTCCCTCATCACTGACCTCCTCGGACGCATCTACTATCCGGACGGCAAGGGCAACGGCAAGCTCCCAGAAGACGCTGCCGTTGCGGTGAATGGCATAGCTCTCGTCGGCACCGTGCTGGGGCAGATCTTCTTCGGATGGATCGGTGACAGGATGGGACTCAAGCGCATCTATGGCGTCACGCTAAAGCTCATGGTGCTCTGCTCACTCGCGTCCGGCCTCTCCTTCAGCCGCAAGTCCAAGGATGTGATCGCTACGCTGTGCTTCTTCCGTTTCTGGCTGGGCGTCGGCATCGGCGGCGACTACCCGGTCTCCGCCAGCATCGATCATGTCGGAGTACGCAAACAGGAGGACTAGTGGTGCCTTCATTGCTGCTGTCTTCGCCATGCAGGTGATCAGAATTCACACAGCTAGCGATTCCATTGGATAATTTAAGTACAAAATGGCGAATGAAATAGGCATATATACATGCTTTTTCTGCCTTAACTTTGCGCATCAGGGCCTAGGGAATCTTGCTGCTGGGACTATGGTGCTGGCCATTTCTGCTAGGTTCAAAAGCACCAGGGCCTATGAAACAGATGCATTTGGACAGGCAGACTACGTGTGGCGCATCGTTCTCATGCTGGGCGCCGTTCCAGCCCTCCTCACATACTACTGGCGCATGAAGATGCCCGAGACAGCGCGCTACACCGCGTTGATTGCGAAAAACCTAAAGCAGGCTGCATCAGACATGACCTCTGTTCTCGAGATCGAGATCCCTTCAGGAAAAGAAGAGATGGACGCCCTTGCCATATAAGACGAATTTGGACTCTTCTCTATGGAATTCGTTCATCGTTATGGCCGTGAGCTGCTCAGCACCACCATGTGCTGGTTAGTTCTCGACATCGTCTTCTACTCTCTCAATCTGTTCATGAAAAAGTTCTTCAGTGGCATCGGTTGGTATGAAGATGTGAGCAACAAGGGGCCACTTGAGCAGACATACGATATTGCTCGTACTCAGGCGATTATTGTACTCGCTGGCACTCTCCCTGGGTACTTGTTCACTGTCATCTTCATTGACAAACTCGGCCGCACCAGGATACAGATTGTGGGATTCACTATGATGACTATATTCATGCTTTGCCTGGCTGGGCCTTACAAGTTTTGGTCCAACAATAAAAGCACGCAGATTGGCTTCGCTTTCATGTACGCATTGACTTTCTTCTTCGCCAACTTCGGCCCAAACTCCACCACATTCATCCTTCCCACAGAGATATTCCCAACGCGGTTACGGTCAACTTGTCATGGCATATCTGGCGCTGGAGGGAAGATCGGTGCAATTATTGGTGTGCTTTGGTTTCTCCAGTGTCCAACAAGTATTCAGAACTCACTACTCATGCAATGGTTGTAACTATAGTTTTCCAAATGTGCCGGCACGACACTACACGGCACTAGCCCACCCCGGCACGGCACGCCTGGGCACGGCACGCTAGGCACGGCTGATGAACCATGCCGTACCATGTCGTGCCACCGTGCCCGACTCTAGGCCCAGGCACGGCACTATCATTCCTGGAGCGTGCCGTGTCATGCCGTGCCGACTCCAGGCTTAGCGTACCCGTGCCGGCCCAGGCACTAAACTGGCAAAACCCCTCAATGAACTCAGCACAACAATTCAAAGAGATCTAAAATGACTAAGTTCACAAAAGATAAAAAATAGATCAGAACACAGCACAGCAAAGAACACAAACTTTTGAAACTAAAACTAATTTAAGTAGGAGCCATGCAATGGCTGCCTCATTAAAAACCTATTTAGGTAAAACTCATCCTTGTGAGAAACCCTAAACAGGAAAAGAGTACAGCCAGCTCCTAGATTAATTGTTCATTACATCCATCACCACAAGTCCAAGTCTCAGTTATTACAGAACCATTACATAAATGGGAAGTGAACTAGTCGACATCAAGATAAAGACCAGCAAAGGCCTCTTTCACCTCTTTGTCCTCCACCATGTGCTGCAGTCTTGTCTCAGCATTCTCCCAATCCTTGATGTAGGTAAGTGCCTCTACAGTTTCAGGGTTCAGCCTCCGCCGCCACTCCTCGATGATCCTGCCAGTTAAGCTAAAAGTAGACTCTGAAGAAATGGTTGACACAGGCACTGTCAAAATATCTTTAGCAAGAACAGAAAGTACTGAATAAGTAAGCTTGTGCTCATACCACCACTGCATGATGTCAAACTCATCGTCCAGCTGGCTTACTGTGTCATAATCTAGGTAGGATGCAAGTTCACTAGAGTTAGAACTAGCAGTTGCTGCCTGCAGCAAGGAAGTGGCAGAAACACTCCTAGAATGATCAAGACTAGAAGGGAGGGAAGAATAGCTAGCTCCAACATCGAACTCCTCATCATCATAAATTTTAGCCCAAGCTGTTCTTTTCTTACCAGACAAGGATGGAGGAACAACCCTTTTCAGCCTATTAGAGCCATACATTACATCATACTTGTTATACATTTTGAACAGAAGAGCTCTGGTGTCCAGCAACTTATTAGTGTAGTCAATATTAAAAAGAGAATGTAACTTACTAAGCACTTTGGTAAATTCCTTAATTTTAGCTTTTGGATCCAATATAAATGCAATAGAATAAAGATCAGGTATGTTCTTCCAGTGCTTATTGTATTTGTCAATCATAGGTTGGATAACAGATCTTAGATGTTCATCATGTTGATACCTATGCAGGTGTATAGCAATCTTAACAAGATGATGAATCATAAGTGGAGAAGTAGGATAGTAAACACCAGACAAATCAACAGTTGAGTCATAGAACAGTTCAAGAAATTCCAAGATTTTATTTGCCATAGCCCAGTGATCATCAGTCAAAAGGAAACCACTACCTGAACCTCTAGGGTAATTGGCCTCAATGAAAGTACTGAAAGTACTCTTGTGAGGCAGCAAGTGCTTAAGCATTAGGTAGGTAGAGTTTCATCTAACATCCATGTCTAATCCAAACTTTCTAGGTCTAACACCACTAGCAATGCAATAACTCTTGTATGCAGCAATTCTTTGATTAGAGTTCATAAAAGAGATTGTTGTTCTAAAATCCTCAATGAGAGGATTCACAGCAGCCAGTGCTTCTTTTACAATCAGGTTAATAATATGACAAGCACATCGTTGATGCAAAAACGGATCAGAACCCAAATATTCTTTAAGTATAGGTTTCAGTTTATCCATAGCATTTTTATTTGCAGATGCATTATCCAAAGTTATAGAAAAAACCTTGTTAAGTATACCATACTCAGCAAGGACAGATGCAACACGCTCAGCAATGTTCTCAGCATTATGGGACACATGAATCAACCTTAAACCAAGTACCCTTTTCTCTAATTGCCAATCAGCATTAATGAAATGAGCCACAACAGATAAATAATCTTCTTTAGCCTTCCAGACCATATATCAGAGGTAATAGCAACAGATGAAACAGTATTATCCTTTAAACAGACCATCAGTTTATCACGTTTCTCATTGTAGTATTTAAACAGATCTCTACCAGTGGTTTGCTTAGAGACAAGTGAAAAATTAGGGTTATGAGCAATTTTAATATAATCTTTAAATGCCTCAGTTTCACCAATCATAAGAGGTAGGTCCAATCTAGCAAGCATACGAACAAGTTCAACACGATTACCTCAGCACTGTACTCCCAACGACGAACAGAACCATCAGAATTAAAAGCAATATGAGTCTGAGTCATGCCCCGGGTCTTCTCAAGTTTCTTAGGACACTTAGCAAGATGTCGAGTAAGATGCCCAGTGCCATGAGCAGAATAAGCAGAGTAGCGCTTATGGCAATGAAGGCAAGTGGCAGCAAACCTAATCTTTCTACCTTTCTCAGTTTTGTAGTGCTTCTCAAAGTCCTCCCAGACAGCAAACGTGGAAGGGCGATTAGAACCGACAGGGCTAACCTCGCTCTGGCCACCGTCGGCATCAGCCACGTTGACTTGGGGGTCGGAGTCGTCGACGGGAAGGGGATCAGCAGTAGAACGGCCGAAGAGCACGGTAGCGTCCTCGCGGACATCATCGTCCTCGTCATCTCCGGCCATCCCGTACATACGCAACTCGTCGTTCTGGGAGTGGTCAAACTCCCCGTAGTCGTGTCACCCAGCGCCTGGGGCCATCTCTGCCGTCTCCGGTTCCTCGACGGCTGCCACAATCAACAGATAAAACAGGGTTAGGTTGGGGATTAGGGTTTGGGTTAGGGTTAGGGTTTACCCTTACCTCTACGGCCGGAGCCCCGTAAACGACAACGATGAGATGGACCGATTGCACACCCCTGGTACCTCAACGGAGACCGAAGCCCCGGAGGTGGCGACAGCCAACGATGTGGACGACGGATAGATGACGGAGATGCGGCGAGGATGCCGAGAACGAGGCTCAATCAACGTTCAAGGATGAAGAATAAGGGAACAGATGGAGATTGAGGGCGGAAACCACCAGATCTGAGGGAGAAGAGGGAGATTGAGGGCAGAGAGGGACAAGAGGGAACCATCGGCCACCGGAACTGACCCCTTACCCACTGGAAGACTCCATGGTGATGGCGTCGAGGAGCCTAGGTTATGAGTGCGGCGAAGAGCGGCGAGCAGGCGAGGAGCGGGCGAGCGACAGAGTGAGCGGGGAGAGCCGGAGACGAGAGGGCGAGAGGCTAGGGTTACGAGTGAGGGGAGTGGGGAGAGCGGCCGCATCGGACGGCTTATATACCGGACCCCTGGCCGCCCGGCGATCCAACAGCTCACGCCCCGCCTCCGCGATCCGACGGCTGCGAGCCGTGCTTGCCCCGTGCTGCCCGTTGGAACGGGCCGTGCCTAGGCCGACACTACGGGCCGACCTTTCGGCCTAGGCATGGGCACGGCTACGGGCCGGGCCAGGCACGGGCACGGGCGAGGCCGGGCCGTATCGGGCTAGGGCCGTGCTTTTTCGCACCGGGCCCGTGCCAGCCCATTTCGCGCAGCACGATTGGAAATATATAGTTGTAACCTAGTTGGAGTCATATTCACCCTAGCATTACCGGACTCCAAAGGCATGTCACTCGAGGACATCGCTGGTGAGATAGATCAACAGGACGAGGAACTTCCCATGGAATCACCCCAAATTGATGGAGTAGAGTTCATCCACAGTGTTGATTTTTGATGAGCATTGACTCATATATATCAATTTTTAATGTTATCAACAGATAGTGCAACATATCACTGCATTAGAAATTTTTGCTCTAGGAACAAAGTTACATCATGCTTACATATTCTCTACACACCCTGAAATGTATGCTATGAGTTATTCAATATTATTGTACAATATGAGGTGTTCTAGGTAAATTCACTACCGGAATCGAAGGCTTTGCCGAGTGTATTTTATCGGACACTCGGCAAACCATCTCTTTGCCGAGTGCCAGACTAAAAACACTCGGCAAAGATTCTGACACTCGACAAACTCTCTGTTTGCCGAGTGCCTTACTAAAAACACCCGGCAAACATTCTGACACTAGGCAATTCTACTAAAAAACACTCGGCAAACTCCGGCACTCGGCAAATATGGGAAAAACACTCGGCAAATTACACTCGGCAAACATCATGCTACGTGTCCCTCCATGAAAAAAGAAAAATAAATAAAAATTAAATAAAAAATAAAAAAATCATTTGCCGAGTGTCTAATATCTAACACTCGGCAAACTCTTTTATTTGCCGAGTGTCAGATCTAGGACACTCGGCAAACTGGTTGTACCTGATAAATATAAAAAAAAAGAAATTTCTTTCCACCACATGTGACAGAGTTTGCCGAG